CCTGCATGTCAGCTGAGCAGGGAGAAGGCTATACAGGTGTCAGTTCTTTAAGGCAGCTCATGGTCACTACCTTGGTTCCTCTGTTTGATCACTGCCAAGAAAGAATATTTGAGATGCAGTGGCAGCTGTATATACAGAGGTCTCCTCCTAGTCGCAGTATGTTTTCCTCTGCTTTCAAGAGAAAACTCAACTAAAACTCATATATTCAAATGCATTTGCTATGGTGCTTCATTTTAGTGTTTTCCCTATGTAATCAAGTTTGAGCATGCAGTGCAATGCACTTCAGTGTGTGATCGGAACCTAAATATTTTTTTGACGTAGGGAATTGTAGTTACAGGAAGTTATTTAAGTTAGCGGTTGTATTTAGCACTCAGGTAGATGTAGAGATACATGGGCGGTCTGGTAAGAAGTCAGCTTATGCTGTGAAAGATGCTGAGAAGCTGGGGAAGCTTTGGTTCCTTCATTTTCTATATGGGGAAACTGTGCAGAGTGCTAAGATGTTTGCTCATGACCACATGGAAAATCTTTAAATCAAAGGTAGAGTTACTTTCTTGCAGTGCCGTCTAGTACTCTTAAACAGACATGATTTTTTCCCTGTATCATTTGATTTTCATCATCATAATTTATAGCCTGAAAATAATACTTTAGTTTCTCTCATATTTTTTTTGTATTTGTTTCTAGGTTAAAGTGAAAATACCTTTTGGAAACAAATATCTGGATGCTATTTTTTCTGTCCCAGCAAAGACATTGACACGTGGACTGATTCTTACCCATGGAGCGGGAGGAGATATGAATTTGCCTCAGCTGGTTTCTCTGGCAGGCTATCTTGCATCCCGTGGAGTTCTGTGTCTGCGGTTTACTTGCAAAGGCCTTAACGTTGCGTATAGGGCTAGAGCATACAAAACAGTTGTGGTAAGAAGTGACCAGATTCTGTCAAATCTCAGACCAATTAATATGGTGTATTTCTGGGGGGCTATACCTCTTTTTTTTTTTTTTTTTCTTGATTTGAACTATTCTCAGCCAATTGAAAGAATATGATCCTGCCTGCCTTTGGATTTCTTAAATTACACCAGAGATTAGGAGAAGGATATTTGGCAGGAGAGAATTTTTAGCTGGGAAAAAATGAAAGAATTTTGGTAGGGGTAGGGATGAAAGGTAGGGTGTCCTGGGTGTTTGGTGAGGAGGAGGGGAAGAAAGGACGCAACTTTCAGAGGGGATTTCAAAGAAAATAAACTAATCCTGGAATTGTGCAGTGTCTCCAAGTGTTTGACACTGACAGAACAAACTTTGGGAAAAAGAGTAGGAGACTCTGGGATGCAGAAGGTTTTGGGTCAGAAGAGATTGGAAATAGCATGTGCGGGGCTCTAGATCCTGAAATAATTTTTGGTAACAAAATCACTTTAAGCCATTACTTGTTTCTTTTTATTGCTACTGATTATTTAAGATGTTCTTACATACCTAGATTTTGTTAAAACGAAGAACGCTTGCTGTGATATTATCAGCTTAGAGTTCTTAATCCTCAGTGTTAGAGTCCCTGTTGTTGAGGGTGTATGAGAGAGTGAACCATTCCCCTGGTTATCTAGGGCATGGGAAGGTAATCTGAGCACTTCACATCAAATCCAAGATTCAGTTAGGTTTGTAAGGACATCGGATATCCTTACGTGGGGAACTGTGTCCATATCTTAAATAATTCATTTGCATGAAGCCACTGTGAGCATTAGCCCATTGCTTTGAATTAACAGGCTTGCTGTTCATAATGCGTCTGCTGTATGATATTTTTCTTCAAAGTATAATGTTGTTAGCCACTTTATGTTAATATGCTAATGCACGGCAGTAGTTTAAAGGCCTTTGCTAAGATAGTTGAGTGATTAAAAATATCCAATTAGTTTCTTCTGTAAACTGAAAAATTCAGCATCTGAATTTCTGTCAAAAGCAACGGATTGTGTGTCTTATTTTACCTTATATTTTCCAACAAAAAGATTATGTGACCTTAAAACCCTCCGTGAAGGGTCATTGTGTTAGTTTACTGTGCTGTGTGATGAGCCAAAAACCTAAATGTGGTCTGTTGCTATAACTAGGCTGATAAACAGTAATTAGTTATGTTTTGGAACTTGATAGCCAATCTGAACTTTCAGACTTGCTGAGAACTAATGTGAAGTTGCTCATGATTATTACTCATCTTGTATTTTTGCTATGAAATATTATGTGGTTATTTGTGTGAAAAACAAGCAAATATTGTATACATGTATCATACACATATATGAAATGTACATATATCATATATATGCATAAAATATTGTATATATCTTTGTTTAATTAGTAACGGGAAATGCCTCCCATTTCATGTTCAGTAGCCACACACAGGAACAAAACCCTTCAGCTGTCTTAATGCTGTTGACTTGGTGACTTGTAATATTTTACTTTTTCTTTGTTTCTGTAGGAATATTTAAAGCTCTCTGACAATTATAAACTTTCAGGTGTCTTCCTTGCAGGTAAGGTTTTCATTATCTATATTTTATCTGTTTATGTTTTTCTCTCTTATATCAGTTTTAACATTTGTAATTACAATAACAATTGTAATTACTTGCTTTTGAAGTCTGGTATAAAATGAATGAACTTCAGATGTGGCAGACAGGTTTTGGCCTGAGATAGGCTCCAAACACTTATTGTCTAGCCTGGGAGCAAGGTAAATAAACTCTCATTAGGTAGAGATACTACAGAACATAGGTGCCAAGTCCACTTAAATCATCTGCCTTTGGATGTTGTAACTTGGGGCTACATGCTCTATGGCTGGTGGATGAACCAGGTAGGTTTGCAACTCAGTTCCCTAGCAGCTGTGTAGACTGGTGCTGCTGCTTGGATCAAAAATGGGAATATCCAGCTTGACATTTTCAAAAGAATCCCTTGGGAATGTGGTTGTCTAGGCCTATTCACCATGCTTATGGCTGCTGCAGATTCTGCTCCAGAAGAAGGAAGAAAAGAGCAATAGGCCGTATTTTCCAGCTTCTTTGAAAGAAAACTTTCTTCTCAAGTGATAGGACATGTGTATGGGATTACTACACGTCTTGAAGTGTTCCAGTTACTTGCAAGTTGCTGTTCTCCCAAGCCAGACTTTGGTAAATAAATCCAGTGGCAGATAGAAAATCAGTTGTGTTATATGAAAAGTGAAGTAGATGCATTCTACCCTGTGTTTCAGTTACTACTGTGCTATATAACCAAGTGGGAAATAGTTTAGCTAGAGGTTAGTACAAGAATTGTTAGATGGCTAAGGGAGCAGCCAAAAGAGGGATTAATGAGCTAGTGTTGGATGCTGATGTAATTCAAGATCCAGTCTGGGAACTGATCTGTTTAATTCTGCCTGTTAACAAGCTGGACACAGAAGATATGTGGTAATTATCTTTTTTCTTGGCAAAAAGTTGGAAAGCATGGCAGTGCAGGGGCAGCTTGGGATGCAGTATGGGAAGATTTTGCAGTTTTATTTCATCTTAGATGTTTTCTCTTACAAAATGCAAAAATAAATGATTGGGTTCCCAGTACATGTTGCTGACTCCTTGGAGGTGACTAGAGTTAACTAGATAGCGGAAAATCTGAGTGTCCTCCAAGTAAGCTAAACCAAATCCACCTTAATACAGGTTAGTCCCATTGGAATCAACCACTCGTAAAACTCAATCTTAGAGCATCATAAATTCATATGCCTTTTCTTCAAGGAGATATTTTGATACCTTCTTGCTGTTATTTATACAGTATATAAATATATATGTTATTTATCTCTCCCTCTCCCACCCTCCCTTCTATTTTTACTTTTTAGTTTTAGGCTGAAATTTGAGGTGTTCATAAACACTTACTGGATTTGGTTTGAGGGCAAGGGCCACAAAACTTTGTTTTTACTTTGAGCAGATTAAGGAAATTACAGAATCACGGAATGGTTGAGGTTGGAAGGAACCTCTAGAGATCATCTAGAAATCTTAAAGCAGCATAAGGAAATCAATGCAAGATAATAGCATTGTTGTTTAGAATTTCAAAGGTCTGGAATGTAGGGCATGTTTTTTTATAGGATGAACTATTACACTTTCTGGTATTCCAAAGGATCCCTCTTTGTTTCTTTTTCATTTTTTTTAAATAGTGAGGTGAAACCATAATATAATCAGTCAGTTATCTCATCAAAAAAATACTGAAATTCTGGTTAGTATTTTCCACTAAGTTGATGAATGAAAGTATCTCTATCATTTTGTAATGCTGGTGCATTGAAAAAAAAATAGGATTATTTTTAGGAATTGTTTATTCCAATAGAACATAGATAAGATGATAGTGGATAGACCTTCTTGCTTTATTTTTACATGGGAGAAAGGCCGTTCCATGGGTTCACGAGCTGCTGCCTCAGTGATACGTCAGCTTAGCCAGGATGGTGATGATGACTTCATTCAAGGATTAGTGTGTTTATCGTACCCACTGCATCGACCAAAACTTCACTCCAAGCTCCGGGATGAGGATTTATTATTTATCAGGTGTCCAGTGCTGTTTGTTTCAGGATCAGCAGATGAGATGTGTGAAAAGGTGAGTATTGCAGTAAGTGCTGCTATGAAGGGCGGTATGGAGGAATAGGAATTAATCTCAGTGACTTTAATATTGGTGGCCCCACTGTGACTTTGATTAATAGTCTTCGCTAAATATATATTTTCTGAAGGAAGCTTTGGGTGGGAAATGTCTGTATCAGAATTAAGAAAATCTGAAGTGCTTTCTTTTGCTGCTCAGCATTTCTGGCTCATGTTTGATCAGATGCTGTAATAAATTCATTTTTAGGCCACTAAAATATTGCTGATTTCAATGTTTTGTCTTAATAGGATAGGTTGTACCAAATTATAAAAAGTATGTGGAAGGAGAGAGTTATTTGCTGTGCTGTCTTAACTGTACTATGCCCTCAATCTGCATTTGTCATATTTTTGTAACACATTTTTCCAGCAAAGCAGTTCTGCCCCCAAGACAGACATCTGCGAAAGAAAGTAATATTTTTCTTGAGATTAAAAAAAAAAACAAGTGTTTAGTGATCAGATTATTATGTTTTTCTGCTTGGTTTTCTTGCAGGGTACGTGTATGTTGTCCTCAGTCTTACTTGAATTTGAGACTGCCTGCTTAGCATTTTCCATGCCTGGACAGTTTGCAGGGAGTCATAACACTTTCATGAGGGATTGCTACCAAAATTAGTAGTAACCAGCAGATACTTGGAGTGCCTTCTTAATGGGGGAAATCTCAATTCTTTCTGAGCTGGCTTATCATTTATCTTAAGCTTACCAGGAAAGTTGCATAGCGTCAAGGGTAGTCTCTAGGGAACGGCACTGATGTCCTGCCCTTGCAGACAATTCTGACTTAAGTTCTATCATTCTGTCGTGTCAGGGAAAGAACCTTCACAGGGCTCTAAGCTTTGCAATTTTTTGAAGTTCTGAATTTCTGCTATTTTCAGCTGAGTGACAGACTGACACTGGGGACTCACCTTTTAATAAATGTCATTACTGAATGTGGGATTGTCTTTCACCCAGCTCATTTTTTCATTTGCCTATTATATTGTTCACAGGTAAAGAAACAGCTGTAATGGCACAATTCTTAGCATCTAGTTCTCTGACTTTTCCCATTCTTGATTTTCTCTATAGCAATTATTAGAAGATGTGGTGAGCAAAATGAAAGCCCCTAAAAAAATCCATTGGATTGATAAAGCAAACCATGGGATGGCAGTTAAAGGACGAACAGCAGACGATATCATGGAAGAAATAAACACACAGGTTTTCTCCTGGCTCACAGAAAACATTGAACTGGAGCACAAATGATTATCAATTAAGTAATACATTAGGATAACATTTCCAAATATAGCAGATTAGAGTCTATTTCTGATAGATGATTCTTTGATAACAGATATTTTGGAGAGGTCTATATATAAACGCAAGTATAGTTTTGTTCTTCCTTTAAAAACAACTGTTTTACACAGTTTTTACATTCATACAAAGTGTACCAAATACTCTGTAATGAGGCAGCATGCTTTTCTAGATCTCCATGATAATACCTGTATACATTTTATTGATTGCCAAATTACCAAATACCATTACCAAATAAACTTCTTTTTTTCCTAATATTCAAAGTAATATTCTGGGTGAGGGGGAATCTATTTTGAAGTCTCTGAAGCCTTAAATGTTTTTTATTTCTGACTATATTATTGATGTTAGGCTTGTTTGGAAAAGATACTTTTCAAAATGTTCTAAATGAGATGTTATTCTACTGATTTGTAGAACCCTCCGAGCCTGCCCTGCACGATTGTCCAGTATGGCTTGTACCCCCACCTTTGTGCCAGATCCTTGACCTCAGCCCACTTCAAGGGCTGTGGCAGACGTAGAGCAATCTCCAAACCTGAGCTCTGAAGCCTGTATGTACTTGGTGCATTCTCAGCTGCGGGCCTCCCCACTATGGGCTGGGGATGTCCTGGTTGTTGGTATAGCCAAACAATAGAGCAATATGCTCAAATAACCAGCAAAGTACAGAATGCCAAGCTGCTGTTATAAGTGAATGCACAAAGGGGAGCCGGTTTGGAGTTGAGTCTTCCCTTGCTCTCTACTGGATTGGACACGGTGGATCTAATAAAAACATTCTGTCCATCTGAGGGATGATAACAACCTCTCTGCTGGGCTTGAGAGTGTTCCTGCATGTGTGTGAGGTGTGCAGTGAGCAGGACAGGGCTGTCTTGTGATGGGGTCAAACTCATCTTGAAGGTGAGGCCTGTGAGCCTTGAACCACCAGAAGGCTTGTTCAGTAGCGGCTCAGTGTGAATGGGGACTTTGGTGGAAGCTGTTAGGGGTTGTGCGACAGCCACTCTGTTGGCGCATAAAGTAGCGTTGTGGCGTTGCTGTTGGTTTTGTGGGAAAGAAAACCTGTTTGCGCCAGGAAGATTTTCTGAAACATGAACTTGGTGCACTTGGCTGTGATGGGCTGTGTGACAGAGGCCATTTCTGAAATGGGAGAGGCTCCTGGGGAAGATGTTGTACTGGAAAGGCCACTTTCCTGATCAGCCTCATGATCTTCAGCATGTTGTGCATCCAGAAAGCATTGATAAGGGTCCCAGGTGATAATCAGCCATTATCCAGGGGCCTGATACCAAGGTGCTATTGACCCTAGAAATCTTATGCGCTGCACCTTTAGAGCAAGTACCAACTGTCCCAAGACGCCAGGGGCATATTTTGCATCTTGTCTCTAAAGGCCCGGAGATCATCATCTGGTTTGAGAACCTCCTCCCAGCAGGAGATTTGGCAGACCTGGGCCTTGCAAAGAGCCATGTTCTTGCTTTCCCGGGAAATGGCTGAAAAGCTTCTGTTCAGCTGAGCCCTGATGCTCAGCTGAAGGGCTGGCGAGTCCTGTAACAAAGTTCCTGATGTTGTCTCCTGAGGGCAGGACTCGTCTCGCTGCCAACAGTTTCACCAATCTGCTCCTGTTTTTCTGATAGGCTTATAGGTTGCTGCTACAGAGGATCAGGCTGCAGGGAAAAGTCAGTTCTAGCCTGGAGGTCCTTCCTGGGAGCAGCTTTTGTGAATGACATTGCAAAGCTGCTTCAGTGTGCTCTGAGTCAGCCCTGCTGAGCTCAGATTTCTGCAAGGTTTTAGTCAGGAGATTGGACAGATAACTTTATTTTGGTGTTGTAACATAAGCTAAAGTCTTCAGTGATATTTTTTTTATTATAGTTCAAAAATACAGGGCCTAGGTGGCCTACCAACTGAGCCAACAAAGTATTCATTTTATTCCTTATTGTCCAGAGTAAACAATGGAAGTGACTTTTCCACAATCACAGAACCCAGATGTGGAAAGAGCATAGCAAGCTGGCCTGATTTTTTGTTTGTTTGTTTGTTTATTTGCAAATAGGGTCAATAAGGCTTAGTGCTTGTTTATTAGCCACGTGGAAGAGATTTCTGCTACAGTACAAGAAGGACCTACAGTAAATTATATATGACACTAAGCCATCTCCTCAGCTTACTAGACAAGAACCGCTTCTATAAAACTACTTTGCAGACAACTGTGTGTTGGCAGTGTTGGATGTAGAAGGTTACTGCTAGCAACTAACTAACTACACTTGTAGTCTTATTTCTGCTGTAGCCAAAATAATCAATAGTCAGCTAAAAGTTAAATGTTGGTCAGATATAATATTCCTCCACTGTTTTTCACAATGTTTCTCATAAATGTTGATCTCCCATCAGTAATGTTATTTAATAAGCACAGGATACAGCTAAACATTCGCAAATCTTTCCAAAAGAGACTTTGAAAGAAATAAGCCATATAGGTTTTAAATTGACTGGCTATGTAATAATGAAGTAAAACAAATTCTCAGTTTTGGCTAGAAAGGTATTTTCTGACTTTTTATAAATTTAGACTTGACTCTTAATCTACCTACATCGCATTTTGAGATCATGTTAATATGATAATAACAGTGGAACTACTTGAGAATTTTCGTAGAGTAGGTATTTTTAAAATAAAATAGCCTTCAGAAATGAGTTTAGTTTCAGTAGTCACTGTTAAACTCCATTTAATTATCTCATTATTGCCAAAGAACACTGGTTCTCTCAGAGGGAACAAAGTTACAGTCTGAGAAAGACCATTTTGGATAGATGAATGGGGTGGGAGGTTGCAATTCCTATTTAGCCAGTTTTGCAGAACACACTTGTGAATAGCCCCAGTACACCAGACAGGTTGTGTTTAAGAAAGGTATCTGCATTTCAAAGGTATCTCAGAACAAGCACACCTGACTCTGATATGAAGTTGTTTTTTATTTAAAAAATTATAAAAATATTTTAAACAAAGTTCAATGACTGCATGATAAAAAGAACGAGGTGGTGGTTGGTTTTCTTCCAAACATAGATCATGATGTAATAAACTTCGTAATAACCACTGAAGTTTTAATTCAAATTTCCCTTTTTTCCTTAAGAAGGGATTCTTAATGTGGGCAAATATTCAAAAAAAAATGATTTCATTTCTGTCAGAGTTCATCTTTGGTCTGTAATGAAGAAAGAACAGTCATTTTTTTTTTCAGTTAATTGTAATCTCAATTTTCATCTGTCTAGTGCTGTAAATGCTCTAAGGGGGAAAATAAAGTTTCCAAGACTAGCGGGTTTTAAGACTGTGGTTACTGACCCTATGCATTATTGCACAACAACTGCACGGGTTTCACTGCAAATGAACTGAAGACAATCAGCTCTTGCACTGCATTTAACGCTAGGTACTGTACCTTTTTTCTGTGGCAAGTACATGGGAAAAGGTCATCATCAGGCTGCTGCACTCTCTCCATGCCATCTCTGATTTTTGGCTCATTTACTTGTAAACTGGAATATTCCTAGTTAAAAAAAATACATTATTAGTTCATAAACTTGTTAGATTATATATGTGGTTGCAAACGACTGCAACAACTCAGCTGAATAATTCTGTAAAACTAATGTGGATCCACAGTCTCTTTCTAAACTTCCATCCAGTGTCACAGGAAGGGTAAACAGACACTTAATCATTGACAGGAACCCCTGTGGGTGCCTCACTGGAGTTTCAATATCTTGGTGCTAATGCACAGATATTTTCAGCTGTGGTTCACAGGGTGTATGTCTGATGTGGAATTCTTTGATCATTGTGGGCAACATGTTATTGCAGATTAAATCAAGATTTATGGGATCTGATACCTTCTCTCAGTTTACCAACACAATATTAAGAGGTTTCATAGAAAATAAATGTATACAATGTTTATAATCCAAGTAAAGTTTTTAACTGCTGCAGTTTGCTTTATGGCTTCAGTGCTAGGTTGGCCAATTTCCAGCAGCTCTGTCCCCCTTTTTTTCTGTGAAATTTTTGTTTCAGTGGAGGTAGCAGTTAAAAACATACTAACCTGAAAAAGTTTGAAGTAGTAACAAAAAATATGATCTCCCATGAGATTATTTCTTGCAAATTCTTGTCCAGATTTTGCAATATTTTTTGCCTATGAAGAAAACAAAAAGTTTAAAAACATTATGTCATGAAGTTATTTCAGGATGCTGATTCTGCTTCTAGTGTTAAATATAGCACTGATTTTTACAATAATTAATGATTTATTTTTACTTAGTACCTACATGCCATGAATTGGGTTGTCCATAAAATAATAACATAATCTCTTCCATTTATCAATAGATTTAATTTAAGCATTCTTAACTTTAAAAGGCATGAATATAAAAATAATTTTAATTTCTCAAAAAAATCAAATTCAAAATTAAGTGTAGTATTATGTATTGCAAAGAAATGTTTTTCTTACTTATACAGGTAATAACACTCATTTAGAAATCCTTCTAATAGATTTTTTTATTTTAAACTTATGCAGTTTTTGTTCTCTTTTGTCAAGAAACACTGCATTATGAATACATATTTACCTCTTCATCATGCTCTTTTGCCCACTGTAGTTTCTCTAGTAGGTCACTCAGGTCACTTTTAAATGGAATATAGTGTTTCCATGGCTGCAGCTCATTATAAAAATGCTCATAGTAGATGGAGTCTTGCTTTAGCACGACACTGTTTCCTGCTAGTAGATAAGGCAATCTGTATGCTGCCACTGTGCCATCAATATTAATTTGATATTTATACTGAAAAAAATGACCATAAGTTATTAACAATCAGAAGATCAGAGTAGCTTGGTTAGGTTTTGTTATTCTGAGGGCACTGGGTATTACTGACTTGCTGATATTGAGAAAGGTAGGACTGGTTAGGCAAGCATCAAATTTTAAGCAGTTTTTGTTATTTAGTGTGGGATTCATCACAATGCAGAGTACACAGGGAGGCCCTCTTCACC